AGACGTGCAGGCAATGCGTTTGCAGTTGGAGATGAACAGCATCATCCAACTGTCATTGAAGTCGGAAATCTCCAATGCGCCTGATTATGATTATCATGTTGGTCGAGCTGTCCACTAATTCGGGATCAGTGAGCTAGTGCCCGGACCCGAGCGGATGTTTCACCACACGCCATGAATGGACGCGACTGCAAAGGGACAGTGAAAGTGGCTTGTTTTGGTACCATTGAGTTTGACTTGTGACATTGCTAGGCAGACCCGAACAGGATCGTTTCTGGTGGCATGGACTGTCAGGCACGAAGGATTCACCCAAAGTTGTACATCCTGCTTGAATCCTGTTTCTGATTTCACCCCTACTTAGATGTCTTCGGTTCCAACTGATTCAGGTTCTCCTGTACAATGCGCAGAAGCAAAAAATGGTTCAGAAGATGGTCGGGCACTCCAAGAAGGTGCGCCTTCTTCTTCTCCTTCTTCTTCTATCCAAAGCGAGTGGCGCCACGTGGTCAGCCGGGCACCGTGCGACCATCCTACTTCCCGGCCTAACGGTGCCGGGCGAAGCACAGCCTGTGTGTTTCCACGGTCGACGAGTGACAGGTGTGGGTTTCCAGTGCGATGGCCGAAACTCGTGGGACTGGAGTCCAGTGGTGTGATCGAGGAAAAGATGGGCAGCGACATGACTTACATGTTACTGACCAACCACCCTCTGTATACCCAGTGGAAACACTGAACAAGTGGATGAAGGGCCGTCCAGTGGCGCTGAATGCGTTTTTCGTATTGGGAAGTCAACCCAGGGGCTTCGGGTGCGTCTGGCCCAGCGACCGAATCGCCACGGGGGTCAGCGATCGGGGTCGAGGTTGCCGTCCTGCGCGCGCCGTCGTAACTCGCTGGTGCAGGTCACTGCAGTCAAGCTGCATGGGGACAAGGAGGTGATTGTTTCGGCCTCACAGGACCGCGGAGGAATGCGGAGGATGAGGATGGGAGAGCTTCGAAGATGGTGGATCGGGGCACCCAGACGGGCACCCAGTTTCTCTGCTGTTGTAGAGCTGTTGCAGAGCTCGACCTGAAAAACATCCCCCCCTCTTAGAGGTCCCTGCTGGATATCGCCAGAGATGTTGTTCAGTCAGATGATTGGAATGTGACACTAGAATGAGGCTTTAGGATCCAATGAGGCTTGATTCTCCGTTCGCTCGTTCGCCGCTCATCGCCCCTTGAGTCGCCACCCAGGGATTGGTTCGGCCGCAGAACCCCTCCATGGTTCGGGTCGGTCGCGGCAGATGAAGTCGGGTAGCCTTGGTCAACGTCCTTGGATTCGTCACCGCGGTGGGTTTTGATCCTGCGGTTCAGGTGAGGTTCGCAAGGCTGTTGACCAAATGACACACCTTTGTTGACCACTTAGTTCATCCCACATCACCCGAGCAACTGCCCCAATTGTGGGGAAAAGATGGGAAAAGATGTCAGAACGTCAGAACACATCTAAGACACCCCCCCTCCAAGACCCTTTTCAGCTGCATGACGTTTGGCGCCGCTGTCCGTCGCATGACGTTTGGCACCAGGATGCAACGGCCAAAGTCTGGACTTGTAGCAGCCCAACGGACTGGTCAAGCCAGTGCGCTGTCGATGCTGAACGAGGGTGTGAAACCGTTGAAACCTCGAACGACGGTGAACGTCGACAGGTTTTTAACAACATGTTCAGACTGTTCGTGTTCAAAACGTCGGGGACGGCGAAACGATGCCCGGACGGAACGCTATAGTGAGGTTGTGGCGCAGAAGCTGCCTGTTTTAAGGTAAAGACTGGACTGGTCAGTGTCTAATGAATCATGTACTATTGATACTATGAACTAGTACGGTAACTTGTTTTTTTTCCAAACCATTCAGAACCAGATATTATAGCAGATTAGCAGATGATGCTCAGGAATTGAAGGTCTGATTTGGGGTACTCGACTCGTATTCCACCTTTTCTATCCTCTTCTCCTTTTTGTTTGAACACATGACTTCAAGGTTGACCTCTTCAGGTTGTTTTGTTTCAACACGTTTCAACAAGATGACCCTGCAATCACCACTGCGCCGGCTTCTTCCGCGGCTTCTTCCGCGGCTTCAAGTGCCGGCATGTCGCGGTGCCATGTCCATCACACATCATGACCGCCATGGTGTAATCTCTCAAAAAGAGGCTCACTTCAAAAAAGTTAGTGTGTTGGCGCTTCGTTTGTTTTGCAGTGTTGCATCAAGTTTGTTTGGTCTGTACCCGTTGGAGACATCGCATTCACGACGCCTTTGGCTTCAGTTTCGCCCCAAATCTTAGATCAACAGGAAACAGATGGAAAGAGGCTCCAGCCATCCCTGCCATCTCGATCAAGATTGAATGGAACGAACTTCTACTCATTGCTAGATACAGTACCATGTCTTCAGATGTCAGATGCATTCAGATGCCCAGGTACAATTGCCTGCACACCATCCGGAAGCACCGCTTAGACGTCACAGACTTGTCGATCCATCCCCTGGGAGAGTGCACCGGCGGTATCATCGGTTCGGCGAGGTTCGGTTCGGTGTCATTGACCGATTGACTTGACTAAGGTGTTTAAGACCTGGAGTTTTGCTTATGGTCGATCTTTTTTATTCCCCAAACTAGTGTGGACTAGGCCTAGGGGTGCTTTACGGTAAGTGTAAAGCACCGGTAAGTGTTTGCTAGCTGGTCTCTTTTGATTGGTCCTTAACTGGGTCAATCCCCTGGCATGGGTTTGAAACACCGTCTCCCGGCACGACCGACCTGGTGGACAACCGGACCGGGCTCAGTGGGTTGAACGACGGCTCCATGGTGTGAGAGTTTGTGTGTCCTGGGTTTACAGTCTCATTCGCGATGGACGGGCGCTGGTAATGGGACATACCCAATATCGTGGGAAATAGATGGATCATGATGGATGTGCTGTGTGACTTTGGGATTCAACTCCGAAACTGTACATGCAGTAACTGATTTTGACCCAGATCCAATCTCATCCAATCTGGAAAAAGCCTGGCACTTTTTCAGTTTGCTACAGTACACTTCCCAACATGGAACGTAATCGCCTCAAAAACTTCGGCGATTTCGACGTGCTATTTCGCCGTGCGCCCACTCAGTTACCTGCTGACCGCGTCCCTGGACAAGTCCTGGGCGATTCACGACTTTGCCACAGGGCGCTGTGTAAGACACATGAAGGACCGGACCGTGTGACCGGCCACGACGCCCTGGACGAGGGTCCGAGGGTGACTTGGCAGCCCTTTCTTTTTTTTCACGGTCCGATGGGGACTTGTCATGGTTCCACTTCCATGTGTCGTGGGTCTAAGGGGTGTATCTCTATTTCGTTTGATTCGTTCTGATGCTGTACGGATATGCAATTGGACTGGTAGCTGAGTCTGGTAGATGTTCACTTCGCTTTGGATATTGAGATGCGGGGTCGTCTCCACCATCAATTGCACAAAAACACATGTATGAGCAATGTGCCCTTTGCTTCAACGAGACCTTGCTTCGCAGGATCTTGAGTCTGCATTTCCTTGCATGAGCTTCCACCCGGATGGTCTCATTGTGGCGGGTGGCACAGAGGAAGCCGGAAGACCGGGTGTTTGCACCAAAAGCGGTCTTTGCCGAAACCTTCCAAGACTTTGAAAGATGTCTTCAGGGGCACCAACATGAAGAGACATGACCAGAATACAAACATGCCTACATTCGACCATTACATTTAGATTGCAGTTAATAGTTCATTAGTGATCTTCGCCTGTCCGACTAGAAATACTCAGACAGTTTAGAGATGTGATGCGATGTGAATGTCCAGCGATTAGGACAAGAGTGTCATTGTGTGGGACGTCAAGAATGATCAGGTGCCTCCACAAAACTCTCTTAGAGCTCTCGTAGAGCTGTCGCGAGCGACTTTTGCTGTTCTCCAGTCGAGACTTTTCCGGTTTTCAGACCAGCAATGCTTGATTTCAAGACCTGAAAGCACCATCTGAGAGCAATCACCTTTTACATCCTTATATATATAGATACAGAAACACATGGAACTCCAAGAGTTTGAGCCTGCACGCTTGGAACTCTAGCAACACACGGCGCCGATGTTCACGCAAGTTCGCCTTCACAACGCCACCGGGCCGTCCGCGCTGTAGGCCACCGTGGCAACCCTTTTGGGTCATGAGAGTGCCGTCCAGGTGGGAAGTGAGGGGTAATTGATCTCACCTGGGAGTGCTGTCCAGGTGGGGCACCCTCCATGGGAGTGCCGGTCCAGGTGGGTTGAAATCAGGTGATCTATTGGGGTGGCCTGAACAATGTGATCTCTTCAAAAAATGCATACCTTAAAGATCCAAACATCTGGAAACAATTGGCTAATTAGCTTGACAATGCTTGTGTCGCGAATTAGCTCGACGATTTGCTTCATTTGGTCCAGTGGTGGCCCCATAATTACTTGACCCCTGAATTCTGAATCCGCATGTTGGCCCAAGATGGAGGAGTTCTCGCAAAAATGTCGACCGTGCATGATTGGCATGATTTGGGTATTCTGTAGATGGAGATTGAGATCGTATGATTAACGCTGACACTGTCATGCTCGGCCCACGAAGACTTCGTTCGAAACCGACCCGGCCCGGAAACGACCAGACCAGACGTCGACAGGGCCATCCGATCGGGGCCAACGAGAACTCGCACGACGGAACCCACTGACCAGCAACGAGCGATACATAGCGCTGCACCAAAATGGGTTCCATGATGTTTAGCAATCTTTCAAGATGAATATTGAATACACGCGTCCTTTTTGGGATACCATGCGACCCCTAAAATTCTCAAGAATGATCGGTTTGGGGGCGGGTGGAGGTGGGTGGTCTCTTTGAGCTCGCAGCCCCCCGGTCGGATAGAGCTGTGGCCACAACAGTTCTACCATGTTCTACCCTGTAGCAATGTTCACATCAGCGTTCCCGGCGCAATTGGATCATCCAGACATCAAATACGCGCCCATACCCTGCCTACGCCTGTGAATAAGAATAGGGATTAATAGGGAGACATGGACAAAAATACTTAACAAAAATCATTGCGTGTCCCATCCTGGATGCCCGTCCTGTCCGGTTCTAGACGAGGGGTCCGTGACACCGTCCTTTTGAGGGATCCTTCATCTTCATCCCATGGTCAGACCGATACCGGCTTGCCGGTTCCGCTCCAGACCTTGTCCTTCTCTGGAAATGGATACTACTTGGCCTCCGGCTCCAGAGATGGGGTGGTCAAGCCTGGAACCCCAGAAGCACCTCCACTCAGCTCGCTGGCGGGGGGGCGATTGCGGGGACCTGTCCGTCCCTCCTGCTTTTTCGGGTGCCATGCCTGATTGCGGCACTGGGCTCTTTCAGCCCAGTCCACTTCACCACTGAGGAACACGTCGAATCAATTCACCCGGCCGAGGCTTTGGGACCTGCGAAAGCCGGTGAATCTCCAAACGATCCAGGCGCGGAGAGGGCGGCGGGTCCCGGGCTCGAGGCCAGAGCCGAGCTAAGCTCGGCTTCGAGCTTTCATGCTTGGCATGTTTTTTGAGTGTTTCATGTTTCGAGATGATTCAAGATGGGGGTGAGTCACAAATTCGTTTGGACCAACGTATGGTGCACAACAGTGTACATTCTGTACGCACAATGTACTGTAATTTAGATATATACTCATTTTGTATCAGGCCTTTGAAACGGACACCTGTTCTTTATTGAGCCATGTTTGTTTTCCATATTATATATCATCATGTGTTTTGCATGTTTTTGGTGGTGTTTCGCAGCTTTGGTTGTAAGCATTTATTTACTGAACTCTTGTATACTTTCATGGATTGCTAAATATATTGTTTGGAAACCCTTTTGAATTTCATGACTTGTGATATCAGCTCAATGGAGAACATGTGCGACCGCATCTTGTCGGTGTGAATGTTGCACCTGTTTTGTGCGACCACTTTGCCCGTCAAAGCATCTTAATCCTCGGCAAAACAGAGTGGTTGTTAGGGCGAAACAGGCGCAATACTTCGCTAAACCGCAAAACAAGCGTAACATTCCGCAAGATTGCGCAAAAAAAGTGGACGCTGTACACCTGTGTTCAACATGTTGCTTTTTTTCTTGGTGCAACTGTTATATTCGCAAAGGTCACGCATGACATGATCTTGGGTGTTGTGCCTTGGCAACTTGTATTGCGCCATTCATGTGCATACATGGTTTTGAGCAATGCTGTATCGAGCTGTACTGATTTTCAAGCCTGTCTTTGTGTTCCTTGCATGTTGCTTGCTCACAAGCCTCGTGTGTCAGCTTGTGAGTCTTTCTACCCTTTGCCTAAGTGTCATGCACTCGGGTTGGTTGAAAGAAACCAACACAGTTTCTATGACCCTTTTCAGTGCGCACTTGGTTGAATCAACCGCCTGCCGGAAAAAAACACCGCAAAAAACGGCGTTCTCGGCAGGTCGAAGGGGGTTGCACCTCTGTGTGCTTCGATGCTACCGGGCAGTACCTGGCGGTGTCCGGGAGCACTGTGCAGGCGGGCCGCCTGGTGGTCGGGACAGATCTGGAATGAATAGTTTTTTACTTTATGATTTCTCACGTGAGAGAAACTCATTCCAGGTATATTTGCAAGTATACTATATAGTTTTGCCTTTGGCAGAAACTCTTCGGCTTGGAAGAACGTTGCGTGCCAAACGCACGCATGAACCAAAGAAGGCCAATCTCTCGCCACTCTTTCTCCTAGCGACTCGTGGCAAGCGAGAAATCGCGGCCGACTCGAGGTCTTCAACTTTGAGGCGAAAACCAGCCTCACGGAGACCATCGCATTCAAGGATGGACCAGTAAACATGCATATCTGGTGCGTGAGATGGACCAGCTTGCCCGTTCTTTGCCCCGATTGCCGCAAGAATCCTCGCACTGAGGCGCATAACTTTCATTGATATAAAGACTTCCAGTAGATGGGGCTCGGAATGCAATCTCCCTAAGAATCCTTGGGCCCTCCATAGCAAGAGGCCGGACCCTCAAAACCATTCAAAACCCTATAGCTCTGTATATTGGTTCCGGCCCGGATTCTTAGGGCTTCAGACTTTCGACCATAAATCTGCTGAGTGACGGTTTTCGTGTCTCGTGTCGGGACACTCAGGAGCACACGGATGCGGTGACGGGTCTTTGCTGGGGTGCCACACTTAGAGACGAAAATTCGTCCAGATCTTGGGTGATCAGATCTGAGTTTTGAAGCTTCATCCCGATTCCAACCTCTATTGATTTAATGGGGTGAACACCAAGCGACCCTTGTTTTAATTACTAAGGATTTTAGACTACAGAATCAGTCAACCTTTCTTTTATGGTCTTGGAAGGCTAGTGCTCAGATATCTCCAAAACTCGCAGATCCAGCAAGTGGTTCGAGGGAGATCGTTGTTGAAATTCTTCGCAGGTCCAAATGCCAAGACTCTCGCGTCGGTGTCAATGGATAAATCCCTGAAGCTCTACTCTGCGAAGTGAGTGCAGTTTCCCGCCACTGACCGGGGATGAGCGGTGTGAGCGATGTGCATGTTGCGCTGTTGAACAACGCACACGTGTATGGGAGAGCGCACGTCTTTGCGGTATGCAAGGGGAAAAATGTGAAGACGTGGGTATGCAAGTGGTGGATGGATGGGTCTGGAGAGTAGCTACTCGTATGTGACAAAGATTGTCTTCCAGGAGGGGCTTTTGTCGTTCAGAAACACGTGTTGCAAAGTGGGCGTGGAGGGGCACTTACTGTGGACAATACAATGAGGTTTTGTACGGGTCTGTTCTGAATCAAGGGGAGTGTGTTGAGAATGGTCCAGCCTATAATATACTTGGCACGAAGTTTGAAGGCTCGAGCTATTTGCAGCAGATTTGTTTAGCTTGCCTTGCAAGCCAGCGACTACCAGCACTTTAAGGACGAGAAGCGCAACCAATACCTTCATGTCTATTCTACAATACTAATAATCGACTTGCCGCAAAGCTCGGCCCACCATCCATTCAATGGCTTCTAGATGCCCAAAAGCCATCCCAAGTGCACCATCCGAAAAGAGCCCAGGTGATGCGATTTGACGCCCTGGCTCCCGAGAAAACCGCGGAACATCATGGAACCTGAAAACCACACCACGCCTGGTTTCGGTCTTCGGAAAAATCATCTTCCAGTGTCCATACCAAACCCGGTTCCATGTGGGTCTCTTTCAGATTTCAGGGCTTGGGAGTGACAAGGAATTTAGATGAATTTAGCAGGAAGCAGTATATGAAGCAATAGAACACGTCCAACATCGTCCAACTACAGCTCCAAGTGCCCCCCCAAACTCAGCACAGTCCTACTTGTAACCTGTAGAGGGACCCCCCCTTCCAGATCGTTTTTCTGGTGAAACCTGTGTGAAACATATAGCAAAACGGTGAACCATATAGTGACAGTGAATTTCTATGGTGAAATCGGGGTTCCATGCTTGGCATCATGCCGTGAGCTCAAACAACATCAGCCGCCAGCATTTTCTTCAATCCGTGTGCGGACAGGCGCATGTCCGCGAGTGCGTGCGTCCTGTGCTGCCATGGCCCGTACACGGGGCCCTGAGCGTGCCAAGCCAAAGACGCTCAGCGCACAGACCACTTTCGACCGATTGGGGTAGGGATGCTGAAAGGTTGTTAGGAAGAACAGTTAATTCAATTCTAGTAAGTTTTTCTTGTATTCTAGTAAACTGATTAAACAGGCTGCCAGCAGATTGTTGACTTTGGAGATGTTGCTTCTCAGTCATTGATCATGTTTATGTTTCAACATATTTCAATTATCAGCCTAGAGGGGACAAGAACGCCTTAGCACGGACAAAGGTGTCTTTATCCGCAATAGCAGACATGTTTGTCCAAGAAGAGAAATTCTAGGTATTACTGTATTTCATAGTACAATGGATTAGAAGTAAACGATTGATCCATTTTTTGTATTCATCGTATTTTACCATGTATCCATATTCTATATTAATTACTGGGTACTGTAGGAAGTATAATATCATGTCTTTTTCCCCAAACAGTAAACACTGTCGGGGTTCTCTCTAAGGAAAAAAGAAGCTGGCCACAGTCCCTGGCCACGCCGGTGAACGCTGTCCGGTGTCCTGTCCTTTGCTTGTCCTGGTGTGCAGCTTGGCTGCCGGTCTCCAGGCACCACTTGCGGTTGGCTGCCGACTTCGGCGATCCGAACCCATGCGGGGGAGGTAGGAGGAGGCCCCGTAACCCATCACTGCCAAGCAGCGCATGTAACCGCTGCGCAAAGCAGCGGACATTCGTTCGTAGGCCAGTTAGGTGTAGGGAGGTTGTTCTGTTCGTCCTGCTGCTGTTGTCCTCTTGTTCTCGTTCTGCTGGTGTCCAGCTTGGCCGCGCCGCTGAACCCTATCTCCTCATGTTCTTCTAATATTGCCTTCTTGTTGTCCTTCTTCAGGTGTTCATTGGCCACGGCTGCCAGCCTATTCTCCTCTTGGCATTGTCCCCTCATGCTGTCCCGCTGTCCTTTTGCCGTTGTCCGGTCACAGCTTGTCCTTCTTTTGTCCTCTTGGGGTGTTCGTGTTGTTTTCCTCTTTGTCCTTTGTTGTCCTCCTCATGCCCTCCTCTGGTCTTTCTGTTGTCCTGCTGTGGTCGTGCTGTTTACGTTGGAGGCAGGGGCTTGGGGCTCCCCGCGCCACCCAACGTACAACAGCAAATTCTTGCCGACGAAGCTGTTTGGCGACAGCTGTTTGGGGTCTATGCTGAGCATGTTTTTCAGACCTCCAAATCACCTGTCGCTCGAGGATTGTGGACCTGGAGTCCATCACTCCGCCGCTGTCCGGGTGCGCCAGAAAACGGCGGACAACACGGGGGCCTCCGAGACTCGAGGAAAGACCGTTCGGGTGGCTCGAAGACGTCGTGGCGAAGCGGTTTTGAATATGCTTTAACCCCAGCCATTTGAAAATCCTCTTCAGGCCTGGGGGGTGTATGGATCCAAGAGAATCCAGCCAGGTTGGAAGTAGCGGTAGACCTCCATGGACCCGGAAGCCACCCGCCTGCATGTATAGACAGGTTCCATGCATGGCGTTTTTCTGGGTATAGTGGTCGCCGGATTTATGTGTCAAGGCCCAGGATGTTCTTTTATGGTGTTTGTGTTGGGGTAGTTCCCCGAATTGGATTCACACCAGATTTCGGCCGCCCCAGAAGTCAAGTGTGCAGTGTTTGCATTTCAGTGGGGGCTTCTACCAGCCCAGAGGCGTACACTCTCAGGAACATGGACAGGGAGAATGCTCAACAATTCGAACATATATCATCAAGTCTCTCACAAACTTCCTCCACCAACTGGTGTATAATTCCAATATAACATATAATAATATATCCTATAATTTTCCATCAAAATTGATGTGCTCGCTATATTTAGTGGTTTGACGTTTGAAGGGCTGACGACTTCGACGAGTTTGGCTACACGATGCGAAAAACGGCCAGGTGCACATGTGGCTCTGGCCAGCAGCTGGAGGAGGAGTTGCCGCCCTAGGTTTCATAGAACTGCTTTTGGGTGGCCTCCCCAGAATTACAAGGGGTTCTCCTGAAGAAATCCTTTTCTCTTAAGGGGGTGCCCTAAAGAACCTTGCCCTAATGGATTTGGATGGTTTGTGGTCGACAGTTGTGGACTGGGTGTCGATGTACATAGGAGAATGGAACCTTGGCAGATGCACTTCCCACCGTTGGACTCGAACTCGAACACCAGGACCGGCCGCGAATCGGCGTAGTGTACGACCGAGGCACGAGAGGATACTGGCGCAAAGTGGCATCCTCAAAGCGAACTGCTGCTGTTGGGCTGTTTCGCTGTGACGTCAGAACCAGGATCAGCTGTCGTTGTTTGGCTGTTTGGCTGTGACGTCAGAACAAGGATACCTTTGCAAACCAGCCACCTCTCGTGTCGGCGAACCGGTCGGATTCCGACGCAACAAAGCAGGTCGGGACCGGCATCCTCGGGGCTTCGGGGGCTTCCGGGGTCGAGAAAAACTACTTGGGGCCTTCCACCTTGGTTTTGGTCCATTCTGACCGCCCGAAGTTCCGATCCCACAATGTGCGAGGTCTGACAATTTGACTGGGTGGAAAATGCAAGCCAGTACGAAACATGAGGTCAGTCGGATCAGGTTTAACTTGGCCCGACTGGACCTTGTAGGGATGCGCATACATCGATCCCCACGTGTGTTCGCAACTCTCCGAGGTCGCAATCTTTCCACGCGTGCAGATGCTGCTGCGGCGCGTGAGGAGCAGCTGGGACAAAGACTTGAAGGTGGGGTCGCAAGCACAATCCCTCCTCGCGTCGGTCGTTGATTTCGCTTGCGCCACGGGTCAGTCGGGCGAATCAGATCGACCGACGTGGCGATGCATCCAGGACCTGCAAAAGCAGGTCTGACCGAGGGCCTGATTGAATGTCTCCAAAAGTGACCATGTTGGAGATTTGTTGAGTCGCTGTGCTGGTAGAAGGGGATTGGTCGTTATCAGTCCACCATGTAGCCGACCTTCCAGGTGGCTTAAGCAAGGTATCCAGCAATTTAACCATTCATTAGAGCTGCTCAAAAACATGTGGGTTCTTAGACGACACTTTTTGGGACAAAAAGATGACCGGTACAGGTATATAGGTCATTGAGGAGCTTCGTCCAGCCATCTCATGCCATCTCCTTTTTGTCAGCCTATCCTGGGCTACGGCTACTGGTCAACCTGCTTGGTCAGAGTCAGGTTGGTCGTCTATGATGATATTGGTGATATACGATGATCACTGCATACTGGATTCGACCACTGGGCAACTGGTCAGTCACCTGCTGGATTTGGCATACTGGTGCGCGCCAAGCGCAGTCCAAGGACTCTCTTTTCGTGACGTCGTGGCCGCGACACGAAACGACCAAAAATGGATGAAGATGGGCTCCTGGAAGGACGACCTTTCCTCTCCAAACACGGGGTGCCATCCGTGCCATCCACTGCCCACTTCGGAAGAAGACTAGAATTACACACAGAATGCGAATCAACGAACGGGTACCCTGATTTGGAGGAACATCCTCTACTTCGGCCGCTTTGACATACTTTTACTCATCTGTCCACTGTGATGAATTCCTTTTGGACACGTCTCAGTGTAATATGGCCATACATGGCCATACATGGCCATTTGGCCATGACTCGCGTCACTCGACGCGACTCGCGAGGCCTGGACCTGGAGCTGGAGCGCTTGGACTCCGCCGAGGAGGAACTGCGCTGGACGCTCGTCCGAACGAAGCGAGGCGTTTTTTTTCGAAGCAGCGGTGGTTTTGGGGTTTGGAGGGACGTTTCAAACGGGCGTTCCATGGGTTTTCCCTTTTTAATATTTTTCAAGGTCCAAGTTCGGACTTGATTCTTATATATATATATAATTTTACTATATATATATATACGTGAGAATTCATTGCAATGTTTGGGAAACTGCAAGATGCTGCAAGATTAAGAGTTGTCTTCCGTGTTCCACATGGTTTTTTCTTTGCTTTTTCCAAGATTCTGTTTGCCAAATAATTATTTGATAGTCCCCTCAAATTCCTTTAGTTATCTCTAGATTGTACAAAAGCATGCATACAAAACACAGGACACTGAAGGACCTGGGAATGGAGCAAAGCTTTACGACAGGCCCCTACCAACCTCGCAAGTGATGGACACACGATGAAGCGCAAGAATACTCGAACAAGATGAACGTTCGAACGTTTGGAGTTCTGCGAGTTCTGCACCGGAAAACCACCACACGAAGTCACCGGAAATCCGTCATATCTAAGCAATCTAAGCTGCCTGCAGTCACAAAGGGGTGCTATCCATGGAGGTAGTCGGGGTGCCCCTGTCACATCCACTCACTGGAAGGGGCGGGAAGGGGACTAAAAACCACCCCATACTTGTGACTCCTGGTGGATGTCTTTTGTTGTTGACACCTGTCTACCGCCGAGGATCCCCCGTTCTCCCGAGCACCAGTCCCCCAGCTTCCGAGGTCTCAAGAAGACGTCCGAGCTTGGGGCTCCAGACGGGCGGCGTTTCGGAGCCCTGGGCGGGTGGGAGAAAACCCGATAGACACGACCGGGGACTGCCAGTTCGGACTGCCGCCCCAACTAGGGGTGGTGGAATCAGGGGTCAATGGGGCGGCAGTCCGAACTGGCAGTCCCAGACGGGTCGTGTCTGGGGATTGATTAGATCATATTAGATCTATATATGTTCACAACAAAAACTACTCCTCACATCTCCACAAGCACTCTAGTATCCAGGCTAAGCGGCATTCTTTTAAGCGTATATATATATGTTTACATGTTTACATCTTTCCTTCCAAGAAGTACTTCTCTAACCTCGCATCGACGTCGCAGTACTCAGATCCTCACCTGGCTTTCAGATCCACACCCTCGTTGAGTGCCGTGCAACAAAAAGTCCGTTCCAGGATGTGCCAGGTGAGTGTGAAACTGGGTGTGCCACCTCCTGGATATCCAAAGTGGAACCACCCATCCATCTGCATCTCAGCGCAAATTCGCCCACCGTAGGCGGCATCCTTGGAAGCTCAGCAGGCTTTGCAGGATGCTCGCGAGAGGGAAAAGGTGAAGCACTCAGAGCGATGATCATTGGATTGAACAAAAAGGAGTGGACCATCACCGTAAGCAATTGGGTTTGTCCGTTCTTACCTGTAAGAGTCAGTAAACAATTATCACTTGAACATAGCCTGCAACTGAACCATCATCATCCACTGGCAACCTGGCAATAGGATAGACCATTTGTCGGCCTTTTGGATCTGTCGGGTGGAGCGTTGTCTTTTGGATTTTTTGTGGTGCCTGGAAGCAGAGGCCTTGGTGGAAGCAGAGGACATCGATACATTCGAAACGGATTCTAATAGCACTTGTTTGGATTCCGCGTAGCGGAGCCTGCAGGATGATCTGGCGCGGACAGCTGAGGAGTTGTCAGATTTGGAGCGCAAGGCGCGATGCAACGACAAAGCATTGGAAGAATGGGACAGTTGGGGGAACATGAAGCTACGTAATGCTCCCACCTTTAGCAACCTTTTGAGCACGCTGTGTAGACTCTGTGTAGGTGCTTGCCAAAGAGTCAGAGTTGGCTCAAGACGAGTCTGACCTGATTGAGGCAAGGCGTTTCGTTACCCACTCTTCTTTCTGACTGCTGCAGATTGGGGGATTGGTGTCATCTGCTAAGACACAAGTCCACTCAGTTTTAAGACACAAAAACACTGATGTCAACCTCCCACATCGCAAGACCAATGGGGGCGGAGATGGTGAAAATGGCTTATATATATATATCATATTATCCCGCCTAAGTGTTACAGTGGTCGGATCACAACACTGTAGAGTTCCACTGATGTTTTGAAGCGCCTTTATATAACATAATTAGACTTGTGATTTCCCAGTCTGATTTCTAGTCTCAGGCTGGTGGTGGAAGTCACGAATGTAGAAGTTGCATGATGCATCCGCTGACTCCGGAAAACAGCTGGTGACCCAGTTGTGAGGTGTTGACGTATTGGACCAGTTTGGAGAGCTTGACTGAGCTCAGTAACTGTGTAAGACAAGCCATCCCAGACCTTCCATGGGACTGGAAGATTAATGATCATTGAATCATATATTACAGTATATATATATATGTCTCCATATTTCCTCCAATAATTACCCTGATATAATGGGGTCACCATGCCAGTCCTGGATCGTTTGGCCAGTCTTCCTCGACTCGTCCGTCGCCCTGGTCGAAACCAACGCCGCTCGAAACTGTTGGGAGGCCAGAAACTTGGTCGAGGGAGAGATCCGTCGTGTGCAAGAGCAACATGACGTGGTGGAGCAAGAGGCTGGCACATGCTGGCACCCCAAGCACCCCAAAAACATCCCAAAACAATGACTGAAACAGGATAGTACTGTCACAGGCTGGTACATGCTGGCACCCCAAAAACAATGACCGAAACAGGATAGTACACTGTCACAGGCTGGCACCGTTTGGCGCCCAACCTGGCCATTCGGCCATTGGTTTGTGGCAGCCTGTCACCAATGGCAGTCAAACACAGATCAACCAAAGAGAACCACGGCCGTTGGACATTAGGAAGTAGGACGAATCCCTTGCGAAACACAGAGTTTTCAAGGGTTGGTGTGCCTCAAAACTGGCAGCTCAAGAGCGATGGGCGATGGTATCGAAATGTATCGAAGATCACGTGAGTTCATGGTAGTTTGCGCACAGGGTCTCCCACCGGGCACTTGGATCCGACCAAAGGCACATGAGAGAGATACTGTATGTGAATCCCAAAGAAAGTGGGTCGAGCGTCATTGAGGAATCTGTGTGACACTGCTCCTACGGTGAGGCCTTGTCGCTGCAGTCGGAGTATGATGATTTGGGCTATTTGCTTGACGAGGTTGAAGCCTTGGGGTGGGCATGTGGTGATCCGGGCTGTTTGCGCGAATGATCCCGCTTGGTCTATGCAGATCGCAGATGGTGTCCAATTGATCCGTGTGGATCGCAGGGGGGGCTGGCTGACCACTGGGATCGCAGGTGCTCGGTTCCGCACGAAACAGGATCCCATGGGCTTCGTGGCATGGAACGGCTTCTTCGCCTCTTTACGTCCACACCACCGGGCCCGGGCGGGTTGGCTTGGTCATCGGCGTCCCGGTCCGTAGGCGGAGAACCATGCGCTTGGTTGGCGTTTGGTTGGTCCTTCACTCGCAGATGACACAGGCTGCATGTCATGTTCCACTCTTCTTGGCCTTTTCACTCCGGAAATGCCCGCTCTATTCTAGACCAAACCAGGGGCTCCTTCACGTCCGAGAAAGAACCCCAACCGGTGGACATCTCCAGCTCTCTCGGTCCCTCTCTCCAGGTGGAGCGGGAGCAATGGTCGCTCGAATCGGACCGAAGCCTCCTGGCGGAGATCGAGTCGCAGGTGGGGAGATTGAGCCGCAGGTGGTCGATCCGCTGAACCGGACCCTGAAGGACGACCGGACCCGGGATTCTGCTGGGTGACCTGTGATGTGGTTCTTTCGAAAAAAAAAAGAAAAAACAGAGAGTGGAGTACAGTAAATGCCCAAGAAAACTTCCTGGGTTCTGTCACATCTTTTGCCAAGAACTAGGAATAGTATGTCATCATCCAACCAAACAACTCTCAAACAACATGCCTAAGCTCCTAAACTTCTTCGCAGCCGAGAGGTCATATCATCTGGAAAAAGACACGATGTCTCTCTGCCTTTTTAGAATCATGTCGTTTGGAAAAGACCTGAAAAGACCCATAAAAGACTACAACAACTATCTATTAATACTATATAGATACTATATATACGGTCTTTCTACTTCAACCCTCCTCGGGTCGGCACCGTCTTTCGTCCGCTCCTTTTGGGTCACCCTCGGCTCCGTGTCCTCACCAGGTGGAGCCCATCCGTCGACGGCTGGTGGAGCGCGAGCGGCGCCTGCGGAGCGAAGAGGAGGAGCTGAACGCTGCGGAGGAGCGGAGCGGAGTGGAGCCGGAGGGATGGAAGATGGTGGAAGATCTGTTACAGATCATCTGCATGAATCGATTCGACTCCTAGACGGACTCTTCGACTCTTGGCATGAATCTTCTTAAACTGGTGGATACTGGTGGTTTTGAGCGTGTGAATCAACATGTGCCGCACAAACAGGTGCGTGGGTCCCAGGTAATGGACATTCGACATCATGTGGTGAAGTTTTGTATCTTGATTCTTTTTGGTTCGGTCCCCGAAATAGAACTACAGTGAATTCCGACAGATTGATGGTGAATCTATGTTGATTGATTGAACTTTGATCCATGATCGACAATCAATCCCTAGTTGATTTGTGGTGTGGAGTGTGGTTTGTGCAGGACTCAGACAGACATTTCATGGGACTGGATTTCTTCTTAACCTACATTGGTACTGGGTTAGCCACCCCAACTGCAAATCAGGTGAGGTTAATCTTGATCCTTGTTTGATGAATCTTGACATTATTTTTGCTCTTTTGTGGCAATCCTGAACCCATGCTGCAGTGATTAGGACCGATCCAAAGTGTGGGTCGGAAGACCTGTCAGCTTTGGAAGTTTGGAAGATGAGTATTGAGAGAAGATTATATATATATATATGATGATGTGTTTGAACAGGATCGGAAGATCTCGTCGAAGACTTCGAATGGTTGATTCATGTTGATTTGCTCCTCTCATTGCTGTGGGAGCAGACGAGCGACCCTATACGACCTGGTGCAACATACGACCCTTCCCCCACCGGTCCCATCCCAAACCCCCAAAGCTTCGCACCCTCGCGGCCGGCGCGACCTTCTGACCTGCCAAGGTTGAGCTTGAAGACAGAGAAGCTCAACTGGAGCCTGAGCATCCCCTCCTGTTTGCGGTTTGCACGGGGACCTGCCATGCTCAGTGTGGGATGACCCACCCCGGTAAAACGAACAAACATGAAACCGTGAATTTCCGGGAGAACTGTCTAGGGTTTTATATCGCTCACTCATGTGCAGGCCGGCAAGCTTGAGCACAGGATCAAAAATCCATAAGACACATGCCAGACAGTTCCTTTTCATGGACAGAGCAGCTACCAGCAGATTCTGTCATGTTTTTGAAGGGCAGTTCGAGGAGCCTTGACTTTTAAGATTAAATAGTAAAGAGAGTGGGGATGGCTGCTGGTATTTGCTGGTCATGACGAAACATATTGTAGCTCAGGCATAGCTGCATAGCGGTTCAGATGGCCAACAAAGTCATTTGTTCATTTGTTCCGAGGCTGCAAAAGCTTTTCTTGACAGGTACCAAGAAAGCACCAAAGCTGCTTTCGCAGTTCAAAGGCGCAAGAAGCTTAGGTTGATTTGGGATGATTTGGGTTGATGGGAGTTTTGGGTCAAAATCTAGTGTGATTTTCTTGGGATCAAACAACTCGATTTACAAGCTGCTTTGGATTCCAAGCACCATTCATTGATCCAATGGGTGGCAACGGAACAAACATTGTTTGGATTCGGATTTTAGATTGCAACACCAGGTCCACTTTTCTTCTATCCGTCAGATTCTTTTTTGTGGCGCGGCGCTTCGATTTTTTCGAGGTCAGCAGGAGCTTGAACGTCAGATCGAGGAGACTCGACAACAACAGCATGGAGCCTCAGAGAGCACGCGACTCTGTCTCACGACGGGCGACCGTGGGCATGTGCAGATGACCATCCAGCGACTTAGAGGTATAGGGTGTGGAAATGGTGTGTCCCAGTATGAATAGGTCAAAGATGATCACGATGAACACATCGATGTCGCAAACAAAAACCATCACTGGATTGCTGCGACCGTGGGATATACCTAGCAGATCCTGTCGCATCCAGCCTTTGCCTTTTCGGATTCCGAGTTTCGGATGCACCGCGACGTCGGGTTCCGCTCGGTTCCGTGTGTCAATCATTGCACGGTCCTTTTTAAAAGAGAAGCAAAGCGCTTTGTGTGATGAAGACTCTTGATTGTTTTTCAACCCTCCAATGGTTTGTACACTCCGTGTTTAACTCGGGGTTTAAATCCATTCGTTATACATTCTGTGGTTCTTGTCTGATCACGAAATCAGCCCCCTTTGCGCACAGGCAACGTCTTCTTCATCAGCTTCAAGAGATGAGTGTAGGCACGGTCGGCGTCGTGCGGTCTCACGGCGCGTTCTGGCGGTGGTTGCTGTTTGCTTCGCGCCAGGACAGAATGGCTATACAGCCGACTTGGCTTCAGAAGAGGAGAAAAACGATGAAACACGATAGCCGTTCTTCCTGCATGGGGAATTGGGGAGCCCCAAATCCTTAACAGCCTTACTTTCTGACACATTCTGACTTCTGACTGGCTTGGACATTCTTGGTGATCTGCCTACATTGGAATTCACTACACAGGAGATGCGCGCAAAGCTCGCGCAGTTTCGAAGCTCGGAAAGTGATTGGGCTGTGCGCTTAGGTGTTTGCAGATGTCTTTGCATAGCTGCATGCAGGATGGCAGATGATGGAAGGTGTAAATTCCATGGCTGAACAAACTAAAACCTCACACTTGAACAGTATGCTGTGTGACAGCGTCAGTTTCGTTCATTGCAGTTTCGTTCATTGCGAGGCTGAAAGAGTGAGACTTCATCAGCGCTGCCGACATGATTGAAATTCATGGAATGTGACGTGGAGCACCGCCCAAAAACCTCAAGATGAGCCAAGCAATGGCCCTGGTCACATGGAACCGTGCGTAAGATGGTTACGCATGTTCACTCACGTTCACGATTGTGATGATTCCACAGGGTTCGATTCCTTTCCAATGTGCTTCAAGAAGTGCACTTGACGCTGCTGGACCTTGACGGTGGACCACACGTTGGTCACATCTAGCCATCAGACTCATGTTGGACCACTGTGAAAGGTGAGCATGATTGGTCGCATTGACGACTGTTCGACATGCACAGGTTTCAA